GGGGATGAGCTGGGCTGGTTTTGGGATGCGGTAGGGGGAGGGGAGATTTTGAAGCTTGTGAAATCCACATTGATACCATTGGGCTGCAGGGTTCCCAAGGGGAATATGAGTTGCTGTTCCTGCAACCTTCGGGTGGCATCGTTGTGGCACTGCAGGAGGCCCAGGATGGACATGTCATCTGAGGAATGGGAGGGGGAGTTGAAATGGTTCGCGACTGGGAGGTGCAGTTGTTTATTGCGAACCGAGCGTAGGTGTTCTGCAAAGCGGTCCCCAAGCCTCCGCTTGGTTTCCCCGATGTAGAGGAGGCCACAACGGGTACAGCGGATGCAGTATACCACATTGGCAGGCGTGCAGGTGAACATCTGCTTGATGTGGAAAGTCTTCTTGGGGCCTGGGATGGGGGTGACGGAGGAGGTGTGGGGACAGGTGCAGCACTTCCTGCAGTTGCAGGGAAAAGTGCCGGGTGTGGTGGGGCTGGAGGGGAGTGGACAAGGGACTCATGGAGAGAGTGGTCCCTCCAGAAAGCAGATAAGGGTGGGGAGGGAAAGATGTCTTTGGTGGTGGGGTCGGATTGCAGATGGTGGAAGTGTCGGAGGATGATGCGTTGGATCCGGAGGTTGGTGGGGTGGTACATGAGGACGAGGGGGATTCTTTTTTGGTTGTTATTGCGGGGACGGAGTGTGAGGGATGAGTTGCGGGAAATGCGGGAGACACGGTCGAGGCCACTGAGGCGGGGAAGTTGCGGTCCTTGAAAAACGAGGACATCTGAGATGTACGGGAGTGGAATGCCTCATCCTGGGAGCAGATGCGGTGGAGGCGAAGGAATTGGGAATAGGGGATGGCATTTTTGCAGGAAGGTGGGTGGGATGAGGTGTATTCTAGGTAGCTGTGGGAGTCGGTGGGCTTGAAATGGATATCAGTTTCTAGGTGGTTGCCCGAGATGGAGACAGAGAGGTCCAGGAAGGTGAGAGAGGTGTTAGAGATGGTCCAGGTGAACTTAAGGTTGGGGTGGAAGGTGTTGGTGAAGTGGATGAACTGTTCGAGCTCCTCGTGGGAGCACGAGGCGGCGCTGATACAGTCATCAATGTAACGGAGGAAGAGGTGGGGTTTAGGGCCAGTGTAGGTACGGAAGAGGGATCGTTCCACATTACCTACAAAGAGGCAGGCATAGCTTGGGCCCATGCGGGTACCCATGGCCACCCCCTTTGTCTGCAGGAAGTGGGAGGAATTGAAAGAGAAGTTGTTGAGGGTGAGGACGAGTTCGGCTAAGCGGATGAGGGTGTCAGTGGAGGGGGACCGGTTGGGCCTGCGGGACAGGAAGAAGCGGAGGGCCTTTAGGCCATCTGTATGGGGAATGCAGGTGTATAGGGACTGGACGTCCATGGTAAAGATGAGGTGTTGGGGACCGGGGAATTGGAAGTTCTCGAGGAGGTGGAGGGCATGGGTGGTGTCACGGACGTAGGTAGGGAGTTCCTGGACCAAGGGGGAGAAAATGGAGTCAAGATAGGTGGAGATAAGTTCGGTGGGGCAGGAGCAGGCGGAGACAATGGGTCGACCAGGGCAGTCAGCTTTGTGGATTTTGGGAAGGAGGTAGAAGTGGGCGGTGCAGGGTTGGGGAACGATGAGGTTGGAGGCTGTGGATGGGAGGTCACTTGAGGTGATGAGGCTGTGGATGGATTGAGAGATGATGGTTTGGTGCTCGGGGGTGGGGTCATAATCAAGGGGGCGGTAGGAGGAGGTGTCGGAGAGTTGGCGTCTGGCCTCGGCGATGTAGAGGTCAGTGCGCCATACTACAACTGCACCTCCCTTGTCCGCGGGTTTTCTGGGGAGGTTGGGATTGGAGCGGAGGGCTGCACATTCTGCGGGGGAGAGGTTGGAGTGGGTGAAAGGGGTGGAGAGGTTGAGGCGATTGACATCTCAACGGCAGTCGGAGATGAAGAGGTCGAGGGAGGGTAGGAGGCCTTGGGATGGTGTCCAGGAGGAGGGGGTGTGTTGGAGGCGGGAGAAGGGATCAGTAGAGGGAGGGTTAGGTTCACAGTTGAAGAAGTAAGTGTGGAGGCGGAGGCGGTGGAAAAACTGCTCAATGTCCAAACGTGACCGGTATTCGTTGATGTGTGGGTGGAGGGGGACAAAGGGGAGGCCTTTACTGAGGACTGACCGTTCGTCATCAGTAAGGGGGAGGTCTGGGGGGATGGTGAAGACTCGGCAGGGCTGAGTGTTGCTGTCTCCTCTGGAGCTGCTGGCTGTGGAGGCGGTGGGCGGAGCGACGTCGGCGTCGGCTTTGGGCGGAGTTGTGTCAGCGTCGGTGGACGGAGTTGCGTTGGTGTAGGCTGTGGGCGGGGTTGCGTCGGCGTCGGTGATGGGTGGAGAGGCATCAGCAGTGGGCAGAGCGGGGTAGGCGGCGGCAGCAGCGGTGACGGTAGGTGCGTCTTCAGTGTCTGTGGTGTTGGCCTCGGAAATGGAGACGGTGGTATCAGCAGCGATGGCATTCGGTGTCCTGGAAGTGGGGTACCCGGCGGTGGTGGATGTGACGTCAGCTGTGGGTTCTCTGACAGTGGCCTCATGGCCAATGGCGGTGGGCACATTGTGGGGAAGGTCCTGGGTACGGCTGGGGATTTCGGAGGTGGAGGAAGCCCGTTTTGGGTAGTAGGCACCAGTAAGTTTACTGTATTTACGGTTTTTAGTGCCCAATAAAGCTGAGTAGAATTGTGAGTTCAGATTGTGGATCCTACGAAGAATCTTTTTGTGACTTATGCACTTGGACTCATCAGAAGAAACTTTATAGAATGATTGGATTTCAGTAACAATATTACAACATTCTGAACTAGTCATTGAATTTAACCATGCCAAAAGAAGACAATGCTCTGGTAAAAAAAAAATTTAAACATTAAATGTGGCTGGAGAGTGAGGGGATTGTAATATAAAAATGGTTATGAAAGTATAACTGCAAAGACATCAGTGGTTTGTTAGAAAGTGAGACACTTGTCCTCGGAGATTACCCTAGAAAAACTTGCTCGCTTTATCATAAAAGAAGATGTTCTGCATTATTATAGAAACTAGATCGGAAATACTTTAAAAGGAACACAATTAACTGTTGCACAAGCTCATAACATTTATACTAATCATTCTTGGATCGCAGAACACCAGACTAAGATGTGACACTGGCAATTAAATAACTAATCTCATGCTGAACAAGACAGCGATATATCTGCAGAGAGTTACAGTAATCAGGAAATAGCTGAGACTCTGGAGAGTTTTTCCTCAAAAACTGAGGTGGCATTATAATGATAACGAAGACATTTTATAATGTTTGGAAAATTAATGTACAGAGATAGATGTTGTCAGGTTCACATCCACGTAACTTAGAATATGGATAACCTATCTGTGCAGGATCCTGATTAAGGAAGCCTTTACAAAGGCCTATGTTTCCTCAAATCAAACATGGTCACCAGCACTAGAATAATATTCAATAAGAAACATTAGTTTTGTGTGTCTGAGATGTTACCAAACTTGCTAAGTATTTCCAGCATTTTCAGTTTTTAATTTAGGACTTACATCATCTGCAATATTTTGCTTTTATTTTAATGTTTGTGAGCAGGTTCCCTTTGCTCAATTCAATCTCTAATGTACAGCAGGATTCCACTGACCCAAAGGAAAATGAATGAGACAAACACAGAAAATGCTGGAGAAACTCAACAGGTATGGCAGCATCTGTGGAAAGAGAAACAGAGTTTTTGAAAAATGCTGGAAAGTGTCTTATTTATTTATTTATTTTCACATGGAAAGCCAATTTTCCAATCCCTTTCAGTTCTGAAGAGTCATACTGGATTGAAAACTTTAAATCTGTTTCTTTCTCCACAGGTGGTGCCAGAATTCTTGAGTTTTCCCAGCATTCTCTGTTTCTGTTTCAGATTTCCAACATCCCAGTAGTTTTCTTCTGTTATAAAAATGAATGGGAATGTTCATACTAAATTAGCTAGTTGACCTAAATAAATAAATACATACAAGTTATACTCAATAACACAGGTAATACCAGTTAGTTGCCAGAAGGGACATTATCAGTCAGATGATATTTAGATCAAAAATTTTACAGCTGAAATAGTAACTTTTGATTCCTGTGTATAAGTGGTCTTGGGTAAAAACATAACACTGTGCCGAGTGTCTTTCTGGATTATTTGGTGAGCTAAATGCTATTTTTGACTTGATTCAGTGACCAGTTTTCATGTTAAAATTGTGTTCTCAATTTAAAATGGAAGTAATTGTTAATGGTTCACTTTACAGCTCCCCTGTTGGCATAAATGCATCAACAACATCGCAATGATCCTGAAAGGTCACAAAGGGATTTCACATTTTAATCAACGTGTGCTGAGTCAGCACATCTCAAACCATAGAGGGGGTCTGAGTGTTAGAATCCATACTATCAATCCTCATAGCTCTCCTATGATCCTTGTTGAAAATGTTTACTTCAGACTTAGCTTTAATATATTTTAAAAACAAGGAGCCCGCCAACTACTGCTTAAGCCTACAAACACGGAACAGCCACTTAAAAGTAGGCTAGTGCCTACCAAACCATATCTTTATGCATACCAACATGTTTGGGACAGGAAAATAAAGGAGAAGGGAAAGAAACAGATCTGAACAAAACAGGGAGCAAAAAGAAGATGCTGCTTTATTTCAAACTTACTGAAACTGTAAAATATTTTTGAATAATAAATTGATACAGTGCAATTCTCAGGACTCAGTTTTATCTTCAAACAATGAACCTATCTCAGAAATGCTTTGTATTTTGTAAGAGAACGGAATAACTGACTGTTAACCACGCATTACATTTCTTATAACATAATTTATTTAGTTCAAATGTAAATACGGTACCTCAGGGTGAAGCAAAATTCAGCCATAACGACCTGCAAACAATCAAAAATTAGACATTAAAGTGCTGGTTTCAAAAAGAAATGTTGAAACTTAGACAACAATATTAATCATTTGCTATAAATAGAAACAACACCAATTTTTTTTCAGGCAAAATAAGCTGCACTGGCACCGGCTCATATCCTTTTATGATAGGAGAAGGGCTCCAATGACAGGCTGAATGAATACAGAGACACAAAAGTAAAATCTGTCATCTGCCTTGCATTAAGCCTAACCAGAGTAGGCTGCAACTATTATCTACAATTCATGATTAGAATAAATTAAAACCTGTGATATAAAATAAAAAGGCAGAATTCTTTTCAAGACACTGTTTTCTAAGCATCCCCAAGGTCATGTCATGAACTGGTTTTAAAACATTACATTGCTCTCAGCTTTTGGAATTTAAAATTGATACTGTGAGATATAAATTCAAAGAAATTCTAGGGGAAATGTTGAATAGTCCCTGAAAATGGATTAAGGGACAATAACATTAACAGCATTAACCAAAGTCCCTTCCTACCTTTGCAGGTAGCATGCAAACCTTGTGCTGCCTGCACAAAGCCAGTGCTGTATGCTCTGTTCAGCGACTGTACAACTCACCAGGAGTGTAAAACAGTGAGTGGCTAGCATGACTTCCAGCTAGACTAAAGTCTGCATGCAATTATTATAGGCGAGGTTAATTTTATTGCAGCAGGTGCTAAAGGTCACATTAAAAACATGTTTCAACTGGTAAAGGCACAACATGGCTAAGATTACACTCCAAAGTTCTCTTCATAATGGAAATCCATGGTGCAGGAGATGAACTCAAAAGAGAGGGGACTTCTATCCACAGGAAACCAAGAGATCCTCCAATCAGATATTGCGAAAGCAATGGAGATGAAAACAAGAATCATGTCGTGTATCACTGAGTCCTGGAAGGCATGGATGCAGCACCACAAGAAGTTCAATTACCTTACACAATTAGACAAGGTCACTGAATGAATCTTTGAATGCCTTATCTAACCATCTGCCAATTAGAATCATGCTGTGCTCAATTTACCAAAACTTTCACCTTTCATTTCACCAACCAACAATTTCCATCAATCATGAATCATTTTCTCATATTTGTACTTTCACATCACCTTCCCACAATTAGCACTGCTGAAATCGGAACTGTACACCCACAGCTTGCACACACAGCCAGCAATTCAACCATCACAAGCACATCACTGAAATACATAGCACCACTCTCAGTTACACACCTCCTCCTCATTTGCAGTTCAAGGAGACACACAACCACAGACGGCAGCAAATAATGGGTACAAAACAGGCTGCATACTTTCAGCCTCAAGATGGAAAAGTTATTCACAATGATTGCGGTGGCCTTGACTTTGGCTGTGGCCAGGAACAAGCATGAAACTATCAAAGATTGTAGTTTCTCATAGCTAATCTTCCTCACAAAGCTAATCTTCCTGACATCTCTCAGTCCACAATCTAAAGTTGAAAATGGTGTAAGCATAGATTTCTTTCTTCACCTCCCCCTCCACACAACTCTACCCTGTGCCTTTTTCCTTTCACACATTCTCAAAGTGCAACTTGGCCAAACAATAGCACAGGAATAAGAAATGGAAGAGGAAGAAGAGACTGAAGAAGAAACACCATAAATTGACCTCACACATTCAGCCACCAACTCAGATAATGACACTGAGTACACTAGATGGTAGCTTTTATGTCATAACTTTAAAACAGCAAATACCAGTGACCCATAGTCAGGGTAGTGGGTAAAAGGACAGATGAGGTGCCAGATTGCTGGAGGACAAGGTTGCATATATATTCTGTTCCGAGGACTCAGATGAGGACTTTAAGCAAGCGGCATACAATGAAGGGCTGACAGGGAGGCATACACACACAAACAGTTATGTTATTAGATGCCCTATCAGAAAGCCTATGGTGACTGTTATGGAAAATAGAGGAGTCCAGCACCAAACTTGCACATGACTGTGCACAGTATGTGGAGCTCATCCTTTCCACTGTGGATGTTCTAGCAAACTCTATGACTAGACTCAATTTTCTTACCAACCTGTGAATCAATGTCTGAGGTCTCAACTTTCATTCTAACTGAGCTATGTAACCCTTGACTGCTGCAGATCGAAGGCACATAAACACAGCCCACTACCATGCAGCCTCAGACTGCTGCCATCCTGATTCCCCACACCGATCCTCAGAGGGGCTTGGAAGATTCCATGGTAGTCCAACAACCTGTCCTCTGAAATATTGCAAGGACGGTGGAGAGATGTCCTGGGAGAGTGACGGCAGCTCCAAAAAGGATGGCACTGCTGTCCTCCCTCCAATTATGGCATTCTTCCTTCCACCACTGCCAGTCTGCCAGTGTCCTCTGTGTTGCTTGGCAATCAGCCATTGCTCAAATAATGACAACTGAACTCAGTCCTTCTAGTTCCAGTGCTGCTCAACGTCATCCTGTAGGCCATCTACATTTTCATCAACTGCAATCCTCACCAGTCATGCTGCTGACTCTATGATAACATGGAGTAGCTGTGTTAGGAAAGCTAAGGATACACAGAAGTGAGGAACAAGGAGAATGCAGAAGGGTTATTCAAGGGCTATGCAGAAGGCTTTTGTTTGAAATGTTACTTATATGATTAGTTTTGCAATTTTTTCTTATTTCAGAATCATAGGAAAATTGACACTGTAATGGCTAGAAAGGGAAAGGATGGTGTGGAACAAAAACAAAATATTGTGGATGCTGGAAATCAGAACCAGAGGATGCTGGAGAAACTCAGCAGGTCTGAAAGTAAATATGGAGAGAAACAGAGTCGCTGTTTTGATTCTGGTATGACTCTTCTTAAGGACACTAACAAAAACTGACAAAGTTCTAAAGAGTCACAGCAGACTCTCACTCCACAGGTCTGCCACGGTGGAATAGTTGTTGAATGGGGAATTGAGCTAGAGTTCAATGGTACCACAATCAGATAAAGCCAATCACTGATGGTTTGGCCACAGTGACTACGTTGGTTGCCTCCTCTTTCTCAACTGCTCATCATGTACCATGGTAGCCACCCCCAATGTATCCTCATGACGTTGATACCGCAGGCCATGTATTATTGTGGGATTCTCCTGAGATAGTTCAGGAGAGCTTCTTCAGAGTGCTTTCGGTAGTGAAAGCATTGCTTAATTACCCCAGTCTCCTGCTTGATGATGCAACTTAGGTCCAATTGTGCCCTAGAGTCATGAGGTCAATAGTCAGACCTTAGCCTTAGCCATGCTGTTGTCACCTTTGTCAAAGGTGGTGCATATGCAGATGGCATAACGCTGCCACAGAATGAAGGCATCATGATTGTTGCCACGTGCACTGTGGACCAGAGCCTTCCCCACATGCCACACCACTCCTTGCAGATGTCACCAACTTTAGAAAGCATGACAAACTTCAAAGCATTTGTACTAACTGAGCAAAAAAAATAATTATCAACCAATCTAAAAATGGTTGTTGACTGCCTTTAAGTAGCAGGTTGGTTTGGGTGGGGGAGGGCTGAGAAGGGAGGTATTTGGGGTCCTTTCTCCTGCTAAATACAAGGGCAAAATTAAGAAAAGGCATTAGCTGGAATGTTGAGGTCAAAACTGGCACTGCTAGAGTCAAATCAAATTTACAGACTGATGGCCATAGTTTGATTGTTCTGTGTTTTTGTGAGGGCTGCACTATGAATACCAGAACAATTTCTGAAGTAGCTGGCACCAGAAACATAAATATATGGCCCAACTGCTCTTTTGGACCTAAACTGCAGCCAACACAGCATAAACATAGGAGCCAAATTTTGCAGCCTTTATTTCATTCCTCCTGTCCTCCTGTGGCATAATCATCAGCTGAATCAGGTATCTCACTTTCATATTCTGCCTGATAACAAAGAACAATAGAGCACAGGAACAGGCCCTTTGGCCCTCCAAGCCTACACCAACACATTTTGCCCTTCCATACTAAAACTGACTTCACTTACAGGATCTGTATCCCTTTATTCCCTTCCTATTCATGTATTTGTCCAGGTGCTTCTTGTATGTTGTTATTGTGTCTGCTTCCACCACCTCCTCTGGCAGCTTGTTCCAGGCACTCATCACGCTTTGTGTGAAAAACGTGCCTTGCACATCTCTTTTCAACTTTCCCCCCCACCTTGAATTTGTGTCCCCTTGAAATTGACCCCCACCCCCCAACCTGGGAAAAAGCCTCATACTTTCTACTCAATCATGCCATTCACAATCTTATAAACTTCTATCAGGTCACCCCTCAACCTCCCACATTCCAGCTGAAACAAACCCAGTCGATCCAACCTTTCTTCATGGCTAAAATCTCCCATTCCAGGCAATATCCTGGTAAACCTTTTCCATACCCTCCCTAAAGCATCCACATCCTTTTGGTGGCATAGTGACCAGAACTGTACGCTATCATTAGCAAACAGGATTAAGGAAAATCCAAGGGTTTTTATACATATCTAAAAGGCAACAGGGTAGCCAGGGAAAAGGTTGGCCCACTCAAGTACAAAGCAGGGAATCTGTGTGTGGAACCAGAAGAGGTAGGTGAGGTCCTAAATGAATACTTTATATTGGTGACAACAAGGGCTGGATGAACACAGCAGGCCAAGCAGCATCATAGGAGCAGAGA